AAACACACAAATGCCGTGTTGCAAACGTAAAGATTACTTCAGAATAAAACTGCATGCATACTTTTTTTTTTTTGCAATCGCACTGCACTGGCATTGTGGTACCGTGCATTCCAGTGCGGGCGATAACACTGTGGGTTTGAGGCACGTTTGGGGTGCCATTTGAATGAATGGCACTGCAACGCACCTCCCGCAGCAGAATTTGTCAGGCCCCAACTTTTTTATCTTTTAAAAAAAAAATAATTGTATTGTAAGCACATGGGCTTGAATAGCTTCACCCCGGGAATGATAGCTGCCAGTGGTGAGGTTCTGCAGCCGGCAGCTGAATGTAATTACAGCAGGTAGTGGGCTGGTGCAATAGCTGGCCTGCTATTGGCCATTTCAAATTGCAATAGCAGGCTGGCTATTGCACCTGTCCACTGCTTGTTGTGCCCTCTTCCCTGCATGGGGGAGAGAGCTAGGGAATCCAACCAACTAATCGATAATGAGAATACAGGCAGTCCCCGGGTTACGGACGTCCGACTCAGACAATCCATACTTACGGACCGGGGTCCATAGTTTTCCTAAATGTACCGGCAGCTGCTGGTACATTTAGAAGACCTGTGGCTGCAGCGGCCTGTGTCCCTTCAAATCCTCGCTGCTCTCTGCGCCTGTGTTGGTGGAGGCAGCGGGGATACAGACCGCTGCATTCCTAGCTGCCTCCCGTACCTCCGCTGATGTCCCAGCGTCCTCTTCCCGCGGCCTGTCTTCTCTTCCCCGGTCAGGCCGATCCGACGGTCTGGCCGTGGCTCCTTTGCCCCGCCCCCTTGCCTCCTCTTCGTCTGCAGGCTTAGAGCCATACACAGCCTGCTATCCACCTGCCCACTGCCTGCTGTCAATCAGCATGGGAGGACCTGATAGAGAACTTTCTCCTTCAGGCCCCTCCTCTGCTGATTGACAGCAGGCAGTGGGCAGATGCAATAGCCAGCCTGCTATTGGCTATTGCAATTTGAAATATCCAATAGCAGGCTGGCTAATGCTCCCAGCATTAAAATAAAATGTAAAGAAAAAAAAACAAAGTTTTAAAAAATTAAAAAGACAAAAAAAGTGGAAAAAAAAGTTAAATAAAAATTAAAAATGCAAATAAAGAATATAAAATTAAATTAAAAATGGAAAAACTTTTTTGGGTGTGTCATTTTAAATACAATTTTTCTTTATTATGTTATAATCTTCTGAACAACAGGAACAGACAGCAAAACAATTGTGACACTTCCCTATGCTATCCAAAACGAAAAAATTTTTTTTGGGCTGGAATTACACTTAAACAATTTACCTGTTCCGACTTGCATACAAATTCAACTTAAGTGAAAACCTGAAGTCCCTATCTTGTATGTAACTCGGGGACTGCCTGTAGTTGACAACTATTCTCATAATCGATTAGTTGGTTGCAGCCCTAGCCTGTACTATGCCACAGGACTATCTTATTAAACATTTCTTTTGGGAGATGGCGTCTTTTTCCCCCCCCCTCTTATGTCTGCATCCTATCCCTGAACCCCCCCCACCCCCTGCTTCCTGATGATGAGCACACCATGTACCGTGTTGCCTGATGACAACTGAAATCTCCAGCTGATTGGCTGCAGTCACACTGCTCTCCAAATACAAGAAGGTCTCAGACTTAACAGAAAAAGGTCTGTGAGTCACAACGGTGAATTAATTGCAGCATGAGAAGGCGCTTTCTCACTTTACACTAGATGGCTATAAAACCTCTGTGATGCGAAGCCAGACCACGCAGAGAAAAAGGATGTGCGAGGCTTTATACAAAGCAGTTTATGATTTTCAATTTAATTCTTGTTTAACTTTTATGCTATTATTGATCCTATGGCCTTTAATTTTCTAAGTCCCTGACATCAGAACCCCCAGATATAGGTTTCAGATTGTTGATCATCCAGAGGGAATTACGTTGATGCAGAATGACTTTGTGGGTGACATCAGCGTTCTCATCTGACAAAGGCCGTTATCTCCGCCGTCCCTGCAGACTTTTCCAGACATCTCTGTGTAAAATCTAAGAAGAAAAAAAAAGAAAGCTGCAATTCTGCTTTTTATCCGTACATTTAGTGTCTGCAGAGACGGACTGCGCTCCTTGGGAGTGGATAATGGCCCATAATTGCGGCTTTCATGTTTTAGTTCAGCAACTGCATTATGACTACCCATTGAAGAAACACTATATGGCCAGGCGTTTGTGGACACCTGACCACCATGTTTGTATGAGCTTGTTGGACTTTCTATGTCAAAATCATGGGCATTAGGACCCCCGCTTTTGAGGATGGGTAAATATTTCGCCATCTGGTGTCCTAATAATCTTACAGTATCTCTGCCACCCTACGTATGGAAAACGCTCTTATAAAAGAACATAGACATGCTATTGGATGTCATTGGATATCTTTTTGATTTTTTAACTGATTTTTTTTTTTTCTTTATCTTTGATACATTTTGGTGCTGCTGATCTCTGCTGGCCCACTGCAGCCACTTCCTACTTTTATACACTCCACCGATGGCTGCTTGGCATTTCTCAAGGCAGAGTTCCTGATGGTGACAACAGTGGGCCGTGCCTGCGTAATGTGCTGCAGCAGCCATTTATAGTCTCCATTTAAAGACATTGTGAGAGTGACAACATGGGAGTACAATTGATAGAAAGGGGCAGGGTGTTGTCACCCAGGAACAGGAATTGCCAGACCTTCACTGTAGGATCACCAGGTGCATTTTTACTGAAAGCAGCACATTTAAAATAATAAGAATCATGTTAAAGATGATACAAGACTTTGGTGGTTGTGGTTACATCTACTTTAAATATCTTCTAACAATCCACAAGCGGAGGGTAGCAGAAGGAAGCTCTGACGTTCCTGGCAAGTCGGCTTAGGTTCAGTTCAATGGGCTGGGTTATAGAAGAACAGATGTCAGACTGTCATACCTACAGATAGTGATCATTGCTGGTCATTAAGGGGGACAAAGCCGGCCATTGTAAAGCTGCTGATGTGCTGCCAGGAGCTGGGAACATGTTGGTTCTTGAAGCACCTTAAGAGGAGGAGCTGGAGAAAAGTTCATGTTTGAGTTGTGGCAGGTGCTTCCTTCCTGCACCAACTGCTTTTCACTTCAGATGGTTCCATTGCCAGACGGTTTCTGACCCCACCCAGCAGCGTCCAGCGAATGCTAAGCTCCCGGATCTCCTCTTGTGTCCTCTGTGTAGTGTTCTATTATGGGCTTCACGTTCCCTGTATCACCAGAGACCAGGGGACAGGTTTAAAAGGTAAATACAATTGCTAAGCAAAACAAATCCTGTGTATTCTCATTAATGGGAACCTGCTATCTTTTAATTTAGCCCTCATTCACTCTAGAATCGGCCCGCATGTAGAGCTCCGTGCTGCGTGCAGGGCCGTATCGGGCAGCTCCCAGGAAGGACAGGTGCTGCGTATGATTAGTACGCAGCCCCGGTCCTACTCTTTGGTACTATGCAGCCGTACGCGCCCTACGCTCACCTACCCTGCACGTCCTTGCAGGAGTGCGTACTCGTACGCTGACGGCATGGATCCTGTCTGCGTCCGAGCCGGGACACCCATCCCCTATACGGACCTGCACTTGAGGTGAGCGTAGGGGGGCGTACGGCCGCGTAGTCCCATAGAGAAAGACGGGGGCTGCGTACTAATCACACACAGCACCTGTCCTTCCTGGGAGCTGCCCGATACGGCCGTGCACGCATCACGGAGCTGTACGTGCCGGCCGATTCTAGTGTGAATGAGGCCTTAAAGTGACTGTCATGACAAATGTATGGTGGCTGCCATTGCTGGCCCTCTTTTGGAAAGGCAGTTTGACAGACTGGGAAAGAACCGAAGCATGAGCATGACAGACAGCTAATGTTAATGAGAGGTCAGCAATGGCAGCCTGCATACTTTTCTCATCAGTCACTTTAAGAGCCTTTATACACATGTGCAGTCCAGGGTGAAGGGCGTAGTCCCAGCTTTTACAAAAACATAATAAATGCACATACGATATTTGTTTACATTTGCGCCTGCAAAGCATTGCAAGCACAATCAGTGGATCACAGGTGCAATGCTCTGGATCCTGCAGACTCTTCCTCCCAGTCCCTGAGAATTGTAGCTAAGGGATAGGATGTGGCCACTCCAACAGGAGACTAGATTTAGACACCTTCGTGCCCATTCTGGTGTTTTGGGCGGGTCCTGCCTCAGATGCAGCCCCTCACTGTGGAGAATGTGTTTTTAAGGTGGCATTCACTGCTTTTATGGGTTATTTCCTCTGTGCAAACACTTCCCTCCTGACGAAGCTTTATTAGGCGAAACGCGTCAAAAGTGATATAAATCATCTGCACCAATGTAATACAAGAAGCAAAGCAACCTCCATGTATCACTGGCCCCTCCCTTTTTAGATTGTAAGCCCTCAGGGGCAGGGCCCTCCTTACCATCTTGTCTTGTATTGTGATTGTAATGTCTTCCTTATATGGTAAAGCGCTGCGCAAACTGTTGGTGCGCTATAAATCCTGTATAATAATAATCATTTCTGGATTCTCACTTAGGACTATGAAAATATATTGTTGGAGAATTTGATCAAATCTGGAGCAGATGTGCATGGCTGGCAACCAATCAGCTTGGCACAGTCACAAACTACGCAAAGCTTGCAGCTCAGTCCGCTGCATGAGCTTCTTTACCGATCGTAAGGTAGCTCATTGAAATGAATGGGCTGTCCTATGCTGATGGGTTTACAATGCTCCCTTACCTTTTGTAAAGTGATTAAAAAGTGTTTAAAAAAAATCACAAAGTTGCCAGATCTGTTCTAGTAATATAGGTCAATGAGGTGCATTGATGGTAGTTCTGTTGACCATCCATAGCTGGATTCATTCCTCCATAGCAGTCAATGGAGTGCTCAGACAATGCAGAAAGTCTAAGCCTTGGCATAACTCGGGTCTTCTCTTGGCACCATTCACTAACCTTCTTTGACTAATTTGTGTTTTTCAGCACGTGTAACTATGGCAATGACGGCTGGGAATGCCACTGCCTTTCCTATGAGTAACCACACCCGCGAGAGAGTGACCGTTGCCAAACTTACTCTGGAAACTTTTTATAGCAACCTCATCCTCCAGCATGAAGAGCGGGAGACCAGGTACGCCCCCACTCATGTCCGTAGTATCTCTCCTTGTGTCTTACAGTGTGCACACACATTTCAGTTTAAGATTTCTCATTTGGATTATATTTCTTTTCCTAATCCAGTTACCCGATTACTGCAATGTGCGGCCGTGTTTCTTTATTTCCAAATGTTTAAAGCTTTCCTAATGCACCTAACCTGCGGCTCACAGATTGGATCCATCTGTGTCTGTGGTGACAAAAATGCTGCAGGTCTGTTAAAACCTTCACTGTGGTGCTTAGATGAGCTACAATACCAAACTGTTCATAACGCGCATGGACACGCAATATACCCTACATTAAAGGGATATTACACCCTTACATAGTTTTAAATAAACCAATGCTACAATATGGTTCTTATTGTTATCCATGCTTGCTTCAGACCTCTGGGCTGTTTCTTTAAAATCTTCAGAGTTCGGAATGCTGGGGGGAACTTCTGTTCTGGAAGTGCCTCCATCCTCCCTCTGTGTTCCATGGAGTCACTCCCTGTGCATGCTCCTCTTCTAGGACTACAGAATTACGTAAGAACACAGCCTGCCCGACATGTACAGGACCGCCTACTTTTGATTGGCAGTGGCTCCCGTGCGCTGGTGCTGTGTTGCTGTGATCGGCTGAGATCTCATTCACATCGAGTTGATTATTGTTTTTTTGTTTTCAACAAGCTTCATATCTTATGTATATGCAATAGCCTATGAAGAAATGTAATGCTTATGATGGCTCCAGACCTTTTTTTTTTTTAACAAGCTTTGAGGAGAGTTTATCAAAACTGGAGCAGAACAATCTGGAGCAGTTCACTATGGCAACCAATCAGCTTCTTTCTTCAGTTTGTTCAGTTAAAGTTTGAAAATGAAAGAGAGAGGCTGATTGGTTCCCATGCAGCTGCTCCAGATTTTGTCTGCTCCAGTTTTGATAAATTCCCTTCATTTATGCTTAATGTGTATAGATTGTGGAGCAATGCAATGTTTACATTGCTGCAGTCTTTTTTTCTTTTAACAAGTTTTAAGTATGTTTTTTTTCATAAGCATACATAAAACTTGTTAAACGAAAAATACTGCAGCAATGTAAACATTGCATTGCTCCACAATCTTTACATATTAAAGGAGAACTAATGAGGTGATTGCTTTTCACTCACCTCATAGTTCTAGCCGACCTGTGACAATGAGACTGTCACAGGTCGGCTCAGTAGATCGGGAGGTGAGCGAACAGTTACCGGCGTTCGCTCACCTCTCGATCCTGTCACGGCTCTCTGCCGTGACAGAGGGAGGGCTGGATTCCCCTCTCCCCGCTCCGATCTGCCAGCGCTGACTGAAAAAAATGCTTGTTGAAAACAAAAAAACAAAAATCAACTCGATGTGAATGAGATCTCGGGTAAACTGCGGCGTCTCAGTATACCGCGAGCTACAGCTCGCGGTATACTGAGCTTAGGGTGACGGGAGGACGCTAGTTTGTGTCCTCCCGTTACCCTAAGGAGAACTATGGGGAAAAGACTTAACCCCATAGTTCACCTTTTAAACAAAATTCTTGTAAAAAAAAAAAAAAAGCTGCAGCTGTCATACACATTACATTGCTTCATAGGCTATTGCATATACATAAGACATAAAGCTTGTTGGGGGGAAAAAAACCTTTTAATGTAAAAGAGATCTCAGCCGATCACAGCACCAGCACATGGGAGCCGCTGCCAATCAGAAAAAGCGGGCCTGTACACGTCGGGCAGGCTGCGTTCTTACTCTGAACTCTGAAGATTTTAAAGAAACTGCAGCCCAGAGGTCTGAAGCAAGCATGGATAACAGTAAGGCCTGGTTCACACCTGTACGTGTTGTAGCGCGTTCAACGCTCTACGAACACTCTACAAAACGCTAGAACGCTAGAAAACATGAAAATCCCATTGTTTTCTATGGGTATGGTTCACACCTTGCTGTATTTCAGCCCATCTGAACGCGCTACAAGACGGCCTACGCCTGAAAAGGTACATGAGCTTCTTTGGGGCGTTTTTGTTGCGCGTTTCCAATGGGATACAGCCGAGTAGCTCTCGGAAAAGCACGTTTGTCGCGCGGTTTTTTTACAGCGAATCGCTGTAAAAACGCGTGTCACGAAACGCGCGACAAACGCGCATTATTCGATATGCCTAGGTGTGAACAGAGCCTAGGTATAGATATATTGAAGCATTGATTTTATTTAATGCTATGTGAGGGTTTAATATCACTTTAACACACCACGCTGCAACAGAAAGGTCTGACTGGACTCTTATGTTCTGGTAAAATGCTAAATACATAGATTAGAAACGTTTTACCTGTCAAAGGATTTGTATTTTGGGATATTTAGTCCTGAGACTTAAACTTTGCATCCAGACATTGCTGCTTAGGTACCTCACTTTTCTCTAGTGCCCTTGAGCAATACAGCTTACATTGTATGTGATAGGATTACATGCAGTTAGGAATCAATCGCTTTCCCTGGACGCATCAATTGTGTGTCCAGGGATAGCAATTGATTCTTGACCACATGGAATTGTATCGCATACAATTACATGCGGCGTGCCGGCGTTCAAATGCAGCGGCTGTCACCAGATCAATAACTTGAACGGGGGACAGCTGCCGCTTGTAAATGGCAGATTAGGAATTCATGCTGCAGGAAATCGCAAGATCCTGATGCAGGAATCCTTAATCGCACCTAAAATATAGGTGTGAATGGAGCCTAACTCAGACTGCTTCTCCTTATCCCAATCTAAATGTTGCTATGCAGGGAATTACAAGAGGCTGATATCAAGATAGATTCAGTTACTCACACTGGCTGCATTTGAAAACATGTTTACATAACTGCATTTAGTTATATCTGCCTGCAGTTCATCATTAGTTTTTTACTTTATTATTATAATAAAGAATTCAATTTAATTATGGAGGGTACCCTAAAATGTAAGATAGATGGTTCTTTAACTCATCGGATGCCACCTATAACTGAAGTACAGCTTTTGCATGGGATGAACCTTTAACTAGATGAATGCTTTCTTTTATTAAAGGCAGAAGAAGCTTGAAATTGCCATGGAAGAGGAAGGATTGGGCGATGATGAGGTCAGTATTTTGTATATAAATATTTGTCTTATTCCTTGTCCTGTCACAAAGCCCTGGTTTTTATTCGGGGCTCATCAGGAAGTGAGTAATTGTTGAGCTCTAAAACGTCAGGCTGCCGTTTTGTAACTTTCCATTGTTACCATCCAAGTGAGTCAAAGAAACTGACATATATCCATGTCTACCACTTGGGCACCAAGCATGGATATTCTAGGACATCGCAAGGGTCTGCCAGTCAGGGACTATACAAAGTTTAGAACACCCTTGGCACTGCATGGCTTTTTCTGCCCTCTAGTGTTGTTATTGAGATCTGCAGGACTGTTGCACACTACTGACTGTAGCCTCCAGTAGCAATTTACATGTTATAATAAAGTTTCCCTTCTAATGTGTTTTTCTAAAGATGCTTCACATTTTGCAGTTATCGAGGTTTACTTTTCCTTATTTATGAAATATGATATGTGATCAAGAAGGTTTTTTTTAATAGAAAAGGCTCAGGCGCTCACAGCATGCAAGAAAGGAAACTGAATTCCTGCGTTTAAAGAGGACCAGGCTGGGATTGGATGATTTTGAGTCGCTGAAGGTCATTGGACGGGGAGCATTTGGAGAGGTTAGTTTTATGTAGATGCTGCAACTTACAGCAGTTGTATAGTGAAATGAAGCTCCCTTATAGAGGACCTGAACTCTGGAAGCTGTGCCCCCTTAAAAAAACCCAAACTATTGCCTGTGGTTTCTACCTACTGTTGATCTTTTTCCTATTACGGACTTAACATGCCATGTTGGGCATTGCAAGTCCGTAATGGATGAAGCAGAAGGTGAGAGATCCTTGCACTGAGGATCCCCAGGTACAGCTTCCTCTCCAGCGAGGAGGACATTGAACAGCACAGGAGTGACATCACCAAATCTCACTGCAAATCTCCTGAGACTGTCAGAGGCAGCAGCACCTTAGATCTCCTACTGCAGATATACAGCTATTAGACTGATGGCACGGTAGTACCGAGGTGCACACATACCAGGACTGCACTGCATTTTTCCAGGTGCAAGAATCACTTTTCAGGGCACTGGACACAATTTATATTTCCAGATGTTCCTTATAACATAGCTAACCTTAAATGTTTTAGTTCAGGTCCACTTTAGCTGTCTCATTGGCATGGATAAATAAGTGTATTAGTTTAAGGGGCAAATGGCCAATCTTGAATACTTTTCTAGCCCTTCTACAGAGATCACATGACCAAAGACTGGGTTATAAAATAGAACTCAATAGTACAAAATATCAGATTACACAGAGAATCGCAGGAGTAACATGCCTTCTCCCTCTCTTTTACAAAAACATGCATATTAAATGTTTATTTGTGATGTTAAGAATGTATACTAATGATATACATGTGTAAACTTTAAGAAACAAAGCTTTTGAGTGGCCAATAAACATACTTTCCCTTTTAAAATGTCTGCTTCCTTAATGTCAGCTGTGATGAATGTGTACTTGGCTATGCGGCAAACTGCAGATATTTGTTGTTATGGAATGATTTCATGACCAGTGAAAGGAGTTCATATTTATATATATTTTAGGTGCGTCTAGTTCAGAAGAAGGACACGGGACACATCTATGCAATGAAGATCCTCAGGAAAGCAGACATGCTGGAGAAGGAACAGGTGTGTATCGGAGTAAAACATTCCTCTCTGTATCTTCTTTCCTGGCCAGACTTGACAATTCTACTTATAGTGCAGCTTCAAAAATACTCAACTCCAGCCAATAGTTTGTTTTGGATGGAGTGGGAAAGTGTTTATTCCCTCTTTCCATTTACCAGATTTCCCTTCACGTCCTGTCCCGATGATAGGTGTTTAGAGAAACAGGAAATGGGATATATCTTGGGAAGAAAGCAACTAAGACAAAAGGATAAACCTGATGGATCTTCTAACCCTTCACAAATCTTTCCACAAGAAATACTTTTTGGACTGTGTTGGACTGTAAGTCGAACCTTGTTGTCAATCCAGAAAGCTAAATAAACCTGTTACCTTGAATGGCTGTAACACTTGCCTGTCCTGGTACTCACACAGCTAAACCCTGATCCGTTAATGAGGATTCATCCCTTGGAGTCTGCTGGGAAACTGACTCTTCTACGAGTCTCCTGTGTCCCCCGAAGGGCTCGGTAGTTCTTCTTTGTGTGATGTGGAGGTAAGCAGGAGGAACCACAGAGCCCTGCACCCAAAAGATCGGCACTCAAGTGTTGGTTTCCCAGCAGATTTTGATGGACGATTCCTAATCAGTGGAGCATGGTTTGGCAATGTGGACATAAGAAAGAGGGTAAGTATTTACATGCTTCTTTTCCGTTAACAGATGTATTTAGAATTATGGATTGGTGACAGGATTGCATTAAATTATCAAAGCATATCAGGTCACCTTGTGGCTGGGACAGGTTGCCATGTTTCATCTTTTAAAGTGAAACTCCAGTTTTGTCATGGAAAAAGCTCAGTTCTTCCCAGGTCAGATTTATTCCCATATGTAGTGTATGTTATTTCAATATATATTTCCAATCCTTCTCCACCCTATCCAAAGTTAAGTAGAGTTAAGTTTCAATAGGAGAACTTATTTAAAGTGATAATATAAAAAAATAATTTGTAATAGCAATTCTGATCCTATAAATGGTAACATGACCTCAGAGTTTATTGTAACATTTTGTCCATGTATGCAGAAATGTTCCGGCTTTGCATATGGCGCATCTGACTTGATTATTTGTTTCTATAGGTGGCTCATATTCGTGCTGAGCGAGACGTCTTGGTGGAGGCTGACGGTGCCTGGGTGGTGAAAATGTTCTACAGTTTTCAAGATAAAAGGAACCTTTATCTGATCATGGAGTTTTTACCTGGAGGTAACTTTTTTGTGGGTACAATTGGGAAAGGTTGGAACTATTGTTGGGCTTAAAGCTGAACTCCAGGCAAACAGCGAAATATACAGCGGAAATGCACATAAGGGAACTGTTTTACTTTGTATTTCTGTCCATCAGGGCCTGAGATTAGCACAGCTCTGCCACACAGCATAGCCCTGCATGGCAGGGCAGAAGGCCGTTTTTCTCTGTTACAGTTCAGTAGCACTTACAAGTCTTGTCCTTCTCCCAGCCTTTTGACTGGACAGTCAAGGGAGAAGCAGCATACTTGATGAGATCATCACGCTGTCCTCCTATCAGCATTTATCTTGCATTGCAGCACAGCTTACTGGTTTCCTGTGCTGCTTCTCTCTCTGTACATAGGATTGTGAGATGCTGATATTAGGTCAAATATATGTACTTACACTGCTTTCATAAAAATAAATAATTTCCGGATTTATTCATGGATTCAGAGCTGCATTTATTTGTCTCTTTTATGTCTGCCTGGAGTTCAGTGTTAAATGTTGTGTGCCTCTGTTAAGCTTTCCCTTCACTTCCTGTTTTGTCTGACACCTGTCGCCTCACTCATCTAGGTGACATGATGACATTGCTGATGAAGAAAGACACGCTGACAGAAGAGGAGACGCAGTTCTACATTGCAGAGACTGTGTTAGCCATCGATGCAATTCATCAGCTGGGCTTCATCCACCGAGATATCAAACCAGACAACCTGCTGTTGGATGCCAAGGTGCTTTTATTGTTCCTCTTTATGGTTCATTTTTATATCCCTATAAAGTTTTCTCTTTAAGCATGTTTTCTGCTTCACAATAACCCTGCCATGATATGAGAGATGTAAGTGGGCTGCTGACCTCATTCTGAAAATACTAGTTGTCTGGCTGTTACTGCCTGTGTCATTGGAGGAAGGATTCATTGAAAGGTGTATTTGACCTTTTTCTAAGCTGTATTAACCTTTTACAAGCTGCTATTGTAGTCTCATAGACTTGTAGAAGCAGTTCTAACGCAAACAAAAGCCCATTGACACTGGCACTTATGCTGACCCACTGGCTCCTGTTCTGTCTAAGTCATTATTCCAACATGCGTGGCGCTGATGAATTTGAAGAAAAGCTAGGATGTCTTAGCTGTGTGCTTGTCATGGGTCATTGATTTAAAACTGGGGTTTGTGGTGGTGGGGGAAATCGGCATGATGGCCAAACAGCTAGCATGTTCTCAAGTCATGGTCAGTAGTGGTACCTTACATGTTGTGTTCATGGCAGGCTTCCTTGATTGACAAGCATGATTGTTTACCCTGATTAGTTGAGTCGGCTCATTGGACAGTGAACCTACTCTGGCAATATTTTACCTGGAAAAGTAGGAACGCCCAAGACTCCAAGCTAGATGGGAACCGAGCCAGGAGATATGTCAGGGAGCTTTCATTGCTGATGTTCTAAGACATCTAAGAAACCAGCTGTTCAGACAGGCCACCAGACCCCAACTGTAACTGGGAACTGTTTGGCCCTACATACTTTTTGAATTGCAGTACCGCCCCATGATGTACAGCTTAAAGTCTGTCTAGATGTGTAACTCCCTGCCAGCTTGATTTCTTATCGTTCTTTGGTATCATTACTTGGCCTGATTGACAGTTCTGATCTAAAAGCACAATAGAGGTTTTATTGTTTTGCAACAGCCCGGAGGTGACTGTACTGGAAGGAAAAGTGCTTTCGAAATCTGGGTGAAAAGCTAAGCGGCTGAATTCAGCTATAATAACAATGTTTTCTGAGCACCACATCTCCAAACACTGATTTAAAGTGCATGTCTGGGCAAAATGGCAGAAAACATGCAATACAGTCACATTTCTCCATTGTATATTCTTTTAAAAACTCTGCAAGTGGAGATAAAAAATACTGTTGATCCAGCAGAAATCTGGTGCACTTCTAACTTCCTGTTTTGAGCTGACCACCCAAATCTGTTGCTGCTCTGAAATCCCAAGCAGTGTTGTCAGCCCTGTCTGGTGGACTATAGATATTTGCCTATCCCCCACCCCTCTCTGTTCCCCTCCACATGCGTTAATTTCAACTATGCTGCAGACTTGACTCCCGAGGATCTGCTTCTACACTAAGTGTAGAGAGAGGGCTCTTGGGAGATGTAGTTCTGGGGGCATGCCTATGTTAATAGGAACTGAGCTCCCAGCAGAAGCCCCTGCAAGAATTTTACAAACCTGGTGATGTCCCATGGAGTAATAAAAGCTTTTTCTCGCTACGGGCAAAAGATGAAAAATTAATTTTGAGCCACGATCTAGAGGGGATGAAGGAGGTTTGGGGCCAATTTGATTTATGCCTATAAAAAAATTAAAATACTCGAGCAAGCATGAGAATGCTGCTACTATACTAAATAGAACATTTGTTTTTTTTTTATGACGACATCGTTCTGTGACGTGTGCAGTTGTACTAACCTGGTTGATTCTGCAGGGTCATGTCAAGCTGTCTGATTTTGGTCTGTGTACGGGACTGAAGAAAGCTCATCGGACTGAATTCTACAGGAATCTGACCCATAATCCTCCTAGTGACTTCAGTAAGTACCATTTTGCCTGTTTTACATATTCCATACATCTCTCGTACACACGCACATTTCCCAATGAAACACAATGAAACACTGCAAGTATAGAAAAATTCCTATTGATCTGCCAGAAAACCAGTGGGCTCCTAACTTCCTGTTGGGGCTGACAACACTGCTTCTACTGCAAAGAATTCCCAGCCAGCACCGTCAGCCCTGCCTGCTGGATTATAGAACTCAGATTGTCCTGTTCTGTCCCTCTCCACTTGTATACATTGATTTATGTTTCCAAGAAAGCATTGCTGCTGCCTTGGGGGTAAACTTTGAACTCCTGTGGTAATATAAAGAATATAGGTGCAGGAGCTGTTGCAGGGATTCACAAGACTTTGAATCCATTTCATAGCATTTCAGGCAACATGCAACTATCTACTCATTGTGCTTTCTTTTTGTTGGTCTGTATAGTCCCTTGGACAGCATGCAGCCTTCTTTTTTATAACCTGTTCAAAGTAAAACATTTGGCAGTGTTTTTGTACCTTGTACATCATTATCTAACCAATCTTTATCATATCAGCGTTCCAGAATATGAACTCAAAGAGGAAGGCAGAGACATGGAAGAAGAACAGAAGACAGTTGGTAAGTACACAGGTGGGAAATAAAGTTTGTATTTAAATCCTTGTAGAGTATAATAGATGTAGCGATGCTAGAATAGTGAGACCACATAGAGCACACGTTAGTATCTGCACATTTCTTAAAGGAAATTATATTTGCATTCATTGGTTGCACAAGAGCTTATTACATAGGTATTGCTATTATCGGGACATACAGTGAGAGACCAAAAGAGACACAGACAGCAAATAAAAGCACTGGCAGCCTTCCATTACTCTAATTGGAAAAAAAATCCCCATCATCAATATGCTAATAAAACATTTAACCACTTGCTGACCGCAGTGTTTACACCCCCTTCCTGTCCAGGCCGTTTTTCAGGATTCAGCGCTGCGGTACTTTGACTGACATTTATTCCGTCATGCAACGCTGTACTGAAATTAATTTTATACCATTTTTTTGGGAACAGATAGAGCTTTCTTTTGGTGGTATTTCATCACCAGTGGGGTTCTTATTTTTTACTATATAATGAAAAAAGTACCGAAAATGTCGGAAAAATGTTATGTTATAAAACAATTATTATTACCCAAATTTTTGGCAAAATATAAAAGACGGGGTCACGTCGGGTAGATAGACACCAAACATGTCAAGCTGTAAAATTGGGGTGTGCCCGCGAACTCGCAAAAACTACCATACCCAAAATTGGCCATAGGCGATGCTTTAAAACAGGGGCGCCCACTATTTTTCGTCTGGAGATCTACTTTTCAAATGACGAGCTCATTGAGATCTACCAACGAAAAAACACCTGCAATTAGGGGCGGGAGGGGGGGTGCCGGTGCATTGAAGTCAATGGCACCGCAGCCAGGCTCCGCAGAGGGCGGCTTCGGGGAAATATTAGGGGTCTCCTCACCGCTCTGCATTAGTTCTGTGACAGCGGCTCCGTCCTCCGCCCTCCCCCGCTGCCGGTTCCTTCACTTCTTCTCGGATCCCCGCTGGGGAGAGCAGCGGGATCCAGAGAAGCGACGGGAGGAGAGGACATGGCGATCTACCAGTGATCGCTACGCGATCGACTGGTAGATCGCAATCGACCTTGTGGGCACCCCTGCTTTAAAAGCTTTTACAGCTCATCAGTTTAGTGTTATCGGTGATTGATGGCCCCAAAATTATTGCTCTCACTGCGACGTTCGTGCCGATATGTAACATGTGCGATGTAATGGATGCAATCGTCGTTTCTGCACGTAGGCGCACTCAACACATGTTTGCATGTGTATGTGGGGGGCGGGGGACTTTAAAAATGTATTTTTTATTTTATTACCTCCAGAGAAGCTGATCCCCAGAGAAGCTGATGAAGCAAACACCTGCTTCACCAGCTTTTCTCCGGTATCTGTACCGGAGAGTGACAGAGGAATGCTCAAGTGATTTAATACACATCACTTCCTGCATTCTGAAGAGGAGATCAAACGGAGCTCGTGTACTGAGCTCCGTTTGATCTCAGTCCGCAGAGCTGCTGTGCTTGTCCCGGGCTCACACCAGGCACAGTGGAGCTCGGGATTGCCAGCAGCGGCTGCAAAGGAGGGGAGGGGCGCACACCCGCAGGCATATTACAAGCAATCGGGCGTCTCTACAGACGCCCGAACGCTTGTATGTAAACAGCCATCGCTGGCTGTTTACATTCCAGGCTGATTTCCTGCTCGTGCGCGCCGCCTGGCGGCGGACACCAGTGGGATGGGACGTTTAAAAACGCCCACCCACCCGCATTCAAGAAGCTGCTGTCCGGCCGTTTAATTACAACGGCCGGACAGCAGGTGGTTAAATAAAACCGTTCAGTTTTCATTACATCTTTTTTTTTTTAGACCCAGTGATGTCATCACTAATTCTCTGTGCCGGTCTATGCAATGCCGCCAGATCATGGCTAGTGGGAGAGGGGGCCTCAGTACTCCCCTCAAGAGCCCTCAGTCCTAATGGAAGCAGTGAGCTGACTCTTGCAAATTTCCATGATTGATGGATGTCAGGGCATTTACAGACAGGCTCGGTAATGCCCACATGTGATGCTGAGTCACTATGATTGAAAGAGCTGATATCCAATTAATAAAAAGAGCGGGCAAGGGGCAGCAGGCTGGGGAGGAAAGTTCTAGATGATGCTGAACGACCTCCAGCCAGCAAATCAGGCGGCTCTATCTGACTTGTTGTAGCTTCTAATGTATACTATCAGAAGTGCAGTAAAATCTAAGTAAGGATTTTCAGTACAGCTGAAAGGAAGGCTGGAGTTCAGCTTTAAATTATCATATATGTGCAAGCTTGCCTAGGAAAAATGTATATTGACCCCCCTGATGAGGCTTGAAGAGAGACAATCACTTTGGCTGTTCAAGGTAAAGCGCTGATAGCCCCACCTCCCAGTAAAGTATACTCGCCTGTCCACGTTCCTTTGCTGCCCGCCTGCTCTGTTAGTGCTTTAACTCTGTTGCTCCAAGGGCTCAGGACCTCTTGGTATTGGGAGAGCATGTGACCCTCCGTATGTGACAATGCTCAGGTCTAAGTGACCAGTTGCTAGGTCTGAACACTGTCACAGGGGGAGGGGCAGTGCCGTCATCCACTTGGATAAGCTCCCACATCTGCGCTTACTCTAGTTTGGCTCCTACAGCGGGGAGGAGGTGGTGGATTGGCAAATAGCCCGCACCCCCAGCAAAGAATATCAGCAGACACTGGAACTTCGCCCTGAACGGCCAAAGTGATGGCACCTCTCTAGTGCACTGACTGCTCGTGACTGTAGAGCTCACCATACATGTTACATTCTGACTGTACAATCTCCTTTAGATTTTCCTAAACTATCCAATCAATGGGTATCCAATCAGGCAGGTTCTGCACTACATAGTTGTTGGTAAATCTAAAGGAGATCTTACAGTTAGATTGTAACTAGAGGTGCACCGAAATGAACATTTTAAAAACGAAACCGAAATGAAAAAAAAGTCAGTCCGAAACCGAAAGTTTTTTTTTTCCAAACTTTTAAAAAATATTTTATTTTTTATAAACTTTTTAGTTTTGATTTTATTTTTATTAAATATTTTTTACTTTACGGTACTTCAGGGAATTATTAGGGATCTAAACAGACCCCTGATATTTCCTTTTTCAAAATAGAAAAAGAGATTGAGAACACAGAGTCCTCAATCTCTTATTCTGCAGCCCCTGTTACCAATGAACAGGAATCCTCTATACTGAGTGTTCCTGTTCATTTATAACATGTGGACAGAGTGTGTTTTAGCATGTCCTCAATCATGAATGATTGAGTACATGACTTCCCATTCATTCATAATTGAGGATATAGTAAACATTCTATGTCAACAATTATTTACACACACTCGGCGATCACTGACTGCTTGTGCCCACTCTCCATCCTGACACGCTGTCACAGGAGGCTGGGCGGGGCAGGAGGAGAGACGCCGGCCGCTCACAGCGCACTCCTCCCGCAGCGCTCGGCCCCCTGTGACCGTTTCTTTCCTCCCCACTAGGACACAGATGCATCGCCATATCAGCAGAAAAATTGCACTTTCGGCATTTAGCCAAAAGTGCCATTTTCGGTTGATATGTTTCGGCGGCCGATATATCGGTGCATACCTAATTGTAACGTGTGTGCTGAACTTAAGAAAGATGCTGAAATGGAATAGTTAGGAAGAGATGATACCCCTCCTTTGAGATTGCAAGCCCTCACGGGCAGGGCCCTCCTTACCATCTTGTCTTGATTTGTATTGTAACTATAATGTCTTCCTTATATTGTATATTGCTGCACAAACTGTTGGCGCTATATGAATCCTTTAGTAATGATAGTCACATTCCTGGGATATTATCACGTGACACGACTGAAAGGATGCTAAAATCTGAGTTACTGTGCTGAACAGTGTATTTGACTCGGTTGGTTAAACCCTGTGCTGGTAAAATCAGTTTTAATTGTCCTGTGTGCTGCAAACCATCAAAACCTGATGAGATATCTGGTCACTATAGCATTCTGCACTTCTTTGCTGTTCCACTGTTATATATGTCTTGTCTTCTCCTGATCTAAAGGTTGTGTGTTGCATATTTTAGGCGTACTCCACAGTTGGAACTCCCGACTACATCGCCCCAGAGGTCTTCATGCAGACCGGATACAACAAACTTTGTGACTGGTGGTCATTAGGCGTCATCATGTACGAGATGTTAATAGGTATGAAACGTGAATCCGGGAACTTTATATCCAACATCGCAGCTGTGCTGAAGTCAGTCTACTTTGTTTATTGTAGCCTGTGTTTTACATACTCTAGGAGGACTGCAGCCTCTCCACACATGACTCTGCAGCTTTTAGCTCATATTGCCATGTGTGGGTGGCTTGTGTTTTCATAGATCCAGATTCAGGGCCTTTCAGAAAATGAAGTTACAGTCGGGCTTGGGGAGCAGCTTCAAACGGATGGCAAAATGCACATTTCTGACCCTTTGCATGTAGGCTGTGTACCCTGAGTGATTTTAGAGTTGATCTGTGAGCTTAGAAATATTAAAGATGCCAAAGCTGAACTCCAGGCAAACGGCTAAATTAAAAGATGAAATACACATGTGGGAACTGTTTTACCTGCCAAAGGATTTGTATTTTTCAGTTCTGAGATTTGCACAGCACTGTCTGGCAAGGCAGGAGACCTGCACTTACAGGCCGGTCTCTCCCCCAGCCTGTGATTGGACAGCAAAAGGAGAAAAAGCAGATCGAGTAGTTTGTCTCTCTGTCACCATGCTCTTTCCCCTATTAGCATGTTCCTAGCAAATAAGGGCTGCAGCTGAACTGATTGGCTCCTTGTGCTGCTTCATCTTCCTCTCTGTCGAAGGTTTGCTGTACAAGGACTGCAAGAAGCTGATAATAAGTCAAATATAGGCACCATCACTAAGGTGCATTAATTTGTGTCTTATACCTGCCTGGAGTTTAGGTTCAAAGGTGCAATCTCCAGGGCTTTCTGACTTCAGTATTATTAAATTATGTAAGGTGGAAGAAGTATGCAGGTTATCAATTTAAGGAGGGATGAAGGAGCATCCAAACTGGTTAACAATGGCAGTTTGCATTTCCCTTTGGTGATTGGTAACCTTTCACTGCACCCTGCACACTTGAGATTTGGATAAGGGACGAGTCCTTTCATCATTTGATTCTTCCCAGTTCCTGATCTCAGCTCCAGGAACTCTGTAACATAACCAATGTTGTTTGATTCATCTCCATGAAATTTAAGGAATTCTGACACTTAATTGTTGTGCTTGTTATGCCAGTGATTTATTCAGGCCGATATAATTAAAAGTCTTTGTTATGCTTTACACAGGATATCCTCCATTCTGTTCAGAAACGCCGCAGGAGACGTATCGGAAAGTCATGACCTGGAAAGAAACACTTGTTTTTCCTCCCGAGGTGCCAATATCCGAAAAGTCAAAGGATTTAATTCTCAGGTCTGTGTCGGATCGCAGTCACACGTGTGGGGAAGGGGTGTCTGTGTATTGGGGGTGCACACCGGATCGTAGCATGTCATTCAGGATCAGTTTGTCAAGGAACTCTTGTCCATTTTTCACACATCCTTTTGTTTCAGGTTTTGCACTGATGCCGAAAACAGAACTGGCGCAGGCAGCGTTGAAGAAATTAAGACCCATCCTTTCTTTGAAGGCGTGGACTGGGGCCATATAAGGTACCGATGATTTTGTATATCATTTTACATGTGTGGATGGTCCTTTTTAGAAAATCAGGCTTACGCAGATCACAGGAGTTCACTTACCACGTGGATAACACTAAATTGATCAAGGAGGAAAAGAGAGCATTCTGACAAGGAGAAAAGAGAGCAGGCGGGTGACCCCCCTCAGTCTGCTGCTGCTCTTTTATTGTTCAGTCAGCAGACTTCCTGCTCCTCTAAATATTTTCTGTCTTGCTGTCACATCAATGGAAAGTAGAGTGAAATCTTCCCAACAGAGTCCTGGGCAGCAGTAAAAATGTATGCAAAGCTTAAAGGAGAACTATGGGGTTAGGGCTTTTCCCCATAGTTCTCCTTTAAAAGGTACTTGAATGCATTTTTAAGATATACAGTAACTCCTGAGTTTAGTGTCACTTTAAAAGGAGAATTATGAGGCAAGTGATTTTCCCTCAGGCTCATAATCTGAGCCGACCTGTGACAATGAAACTGTCACAGGTCGGCTAGAACTATGAGGTGAGTGAAAAGCACTCACCTCATAGTTCTCCTTTAAAAGGTACTTGAATGCATTTTTAAGATATACAGTAACTCCTGAGTTTAGTGTCACTTTAAAAGGAGAATTATGAGGCAAGTGATTTTCCCTCAGGCTCATAATCTGAGCCGACCTGTGACAGTTTCATTGTCACAGGTCGGCTCAGATTATGAGCCTGAGGGAAAATCACTTGCCTCATAATTCTCCTTTTAAAGTGACACTAAACTCAGGAGTTACTGTATATCTTAAAAATGCATTCAAGTACCTTTTAAAGGAGAACTATGAGGTGAGTGCTTTTCACTCACCTCATAGTTCTAGCCGACCTGTGACAATGAGACTGTCACAGGTCGGCTCAGTAGATCGGGAGGTGAGCGAACACATACCGGCGTTCGCTCACCTCTCGATCCTGTCACGGTTCTCTGCCGTGACAGGGGAGGGGCTGGATTCCCCCCGCTCCGATCCGCCAGCGCTGTCTGGCGGAACGGACGGGGGAGGGGGCGGGTACAGCTGTCTCTGCCTCTAGATAGGCAGAGACAGCTGTCAATAACGTAGCTGGGCGGATCCCGGCATAATTGTCGGGATCCGCTTCAACTGCGGCGTCTTAGTATACCGCGAGCAGCAGCTCGCAGTATACTGAGCCTAGGGTGACGGGAGGACGCTAGTTTGTATCCTCCCGTTACCCTAAGGAGAACTATGGGGAAAAGACTTAACCCCATAGTTCTCCTTTTAACTATTAACAATAATGTATTTTATTTGTGTATCACTCGGCTGTAGATCCTCAAATCATCTCTGAGTTGGTGCTGACACTGTCCTTCCTTCTGGAGGGGGGCTACTTTTGTTCCCCATGGTCCCTGTGTGTGTTGTAAAGTAGTCACCACATCTGTGCCTTTTAGTGAATGAAAAAAACAAAACAATTTTGACTTGTAGATGGAAAACAAAAATGGAAAAAGAGAGAAAATGCTTTGAAGCTGAACTCCATGCAGACCTAAAAGTCCCTAATTAATGCAGTTCTGTGTTCATGATTACATCATTCTATGTGTTTAACGAGGAGTACCTACAAGTACCTACATTTGAACTGGTATCAGCCTCTTGCAGCACCTGTACAGCAAAGCTCAGACTGCGAGAGGAAGAAGCAGACAAGGACCTAATAAGTTGTTCTGCAGTGCTCATGTGCTAACAAGGAACATGCTGATATGAGGAGAGAGATAAGCTCATCACTGTGCCGCTTCTCCTTTCACTGTCCAGTCACAGACTGGGGAAGGGAAAAGATCTGCAAGTGTTACTGAACTGCAGAAAAAAAAAATGCCAGGGCTGTGCTGTATGACACAGCTGTGTAAATCTCAGACCTGGATGGGCAGAAATAATAATCATTCGATCTGTATTTGCCTGGTGTTCAGCTTTAACGCTTGGGTTTATGAATAGCCCTGTATGTATCCTCTCTCTCTGTGGTCTCTGTCCTTGTCTCCGTCTATAGACAGTGAGCAGAAATATTTGGAATATGCCTTTATAAGTTCACCATTTCTTACAGAGAGAGACCGGCAGCAATTAACATTGAGATAAGAAGCATTGATGACACTTCCAACTTTGATGAATTCCCAGAGTCTGATATATTACAGCCAGGCATGGAGACACATCATGGTAAGCAACAACTGAGTATTTTATACATAGGTATACAGTATATACAATGGGCATGACACTGGCTATATACAGAGCAATTTTTAACCAGTTTTAGATGCAAAAATCGCGTATGTCTGGGCAAGAAAACAATAAAAAAAATATTCTGTACAATACACACACACATTTCTCCACGTTTTATCCTTTTAAATCCATTTGAAATCCATGGGCTCCTCATTTAGTTTGGGCTGACAACACAGTGCCACTGCTGCACTGAAATCCCAACCAGTGTTGCCAGCCCTGCCTTGCTGGACTATATAACTCCATCTATGCCTGTCCCTCTGTCCCCTCCACCTACATACGTGTTGATTTCTGTCCCAGCAAAACCGTGCTGCTGCCTTGCCACCCAAGAGCCTGCCTACATCTGTGCAACAAAAGGGCTCTTGGGAGGTGTAGTTCTTGGTGTGCCTATGCCAGTAGGAACTGACCTCCCTGAAGAGTTTTTACTGTAGGATAATGAGGGGAATTTATCAAAAGTGAAGCAGACAGAATCTGGAGCAGTTGTCCATAGCAACCAATCAGTTTCTATTCTTTTTTAAAGCTTAACTGAACAATCTGAAGAGAGAAGCTGATTGGTTGCTATGGGCAACTACTCCAGATTCTGTCTGCTTCACTTTTGATAAATTCCCCCTATTGTATTTATTTTCTTTTGTGCAGATTCATTTTTCCAGTTGATAATGTATTGATATATAATGCTGCTGCTAGACTCATCCACCTAACCAACCGCTCAGTGTCTGCAACCTCCCTCTGCCGATCCCTGCACTGGCTTCCATCCTCCGTCCCCCTCTGCCAATCCCTGCACTGGTTTCCAATCATCCAAAGGATAAAATTCAAAATATTAACAATCACTTACAAAGCCATTCACAACTCCGCCCCTGATATATCTCCAACCTGGTCTCAAAGTATCACCCTAACCGTCCCCTCCGCTCTTCCAAAGACCTCATGCTCTATAAGCTGCCTCATCAACTCCTCCCATGCTCGCCTCTAGGACTTCCCTGGAGTCTCTCCCATCCTTTGAAACTCTCTACCCCAACCTGTCCGATTATATCCCACTCTGACTGCCTTTAGTCGATCCCTCAAGACTCATCTCTTCAGTGAAGCCTATCTCACCTCAACACTTCAACCATCACGTTCTCAAACACTTCATCCCCACACAGCTACCTCCTCATGTATCACTGGCCCCTCCCTTTTTAGATTGTAAGCCCTCAGGGGCAGGACCCTCCTTCCCATCTTGTCTTGAGTAGTATTGTGATTGTAATGTCTTCCTTATATTGTAAAGCGCTGCGCAAACTGTTGGTGCTATATAAATACTATGTAATAAAAATAATGTCTTCCTTATATTGTAACGCGCTGTGCAAACTGTTGGCGCTCTATAATTCCTATATAATATGCATTTTTTTTTTTTCTTCAGTGCCAAACACCGCAGAACCCGACTACAAATCCAAAGACTGGGTCTTCCTAAACTACACCTACAAACGCTTCGAGGGTCTGACGCAGCGCGGCTCCATCCCGTCCTACATGAAATTGGGAAAGCTATGAGTTTCGACGACTGCCGCTTCTCGGGTTGGGGGAAGGGAGTACACAATACTCAGGTAGCTGCCAAGCCGGACTCGTTGGGCAGACTGATCGCTCCGCCGAGAACTCGTAGAACTGGTATATACCCCAAGGATAATCTGCAGGAACCGGATTCCTTATGACTACAGAACCGTGTTGGCAGAGCCAGCTGGAATACTTTTTTTTGGGGGCTTAGTTTTCCCTTGTTGGAAAGGGATGGGACTTAAGTTATCTCGCGAGGGTACTACATGGGTGAGCATTAATCATATCAATTCCTCTCCGAATGCTGGGCACCGAGGGTCTGCTCTGCCGTGGCGTCCTCTGCACTGTGAGGCCCTGAAATTCAATTGCTGCCATTTTGTGTGTCACTGGCCTCTTGGGATACGACGACCGCTCAACAGTCACGGCGGGATTACGGGCTGCCATGTGCTACGTTGTAACGAGGCAGCCGCCCTTCGATAAGGGAAGAAAGTCAAGAATTTCATTGTTACTTCACATTTTTAAAAAAAAAGAGGTTTTTAATTTGTAAAATTATTTATTCTGCCGCGTATTGAGGTTTGTTTCTGTGCTTGGCTTATGTTTTTTTCTTTTTAACTCTCTCCATTTTAAAGGGGTCATGATTTGGTTCACTGGCCATGGAATTTCTCTTAATCTCTTTTAACGTTCTGTCCATTTGTTTTTCTGTTTTTGGTATGAAAGGTGGGAGATGTAGCACTGAATGAAAAGAGTGTACTAATAGGAAATAAAACTGTTTAAAAGGAAACGTCAACCTGTATTCAGAGACTTGGTTCATTGACTTTTGAACTGACTGGACCGACAAGAATAAAAAACCGTATATAGCTCAGGGACGCTGTTGGTAAGACCGGTGCCCAGTCTGCTTGAATGTCATTTAGCTTTTTACCCCACTCTTCCCATTGGAATGTTTGGTTATTATTAGAGGTGCACCGAAATGAAAATGTCAAAAGCGAAACCAAAATGAAAAAAAATATCAGGCTGAAACCGAAAATATTTTTTTTTAATTTTTAACTTTTTCAAATATTTTATTTTCATTTTATTTTTTATACATTTTAAATTCTTTTTATATATATATTTTTTAAACGTATTTTTTATTAAATATTTTTATGTTTTACTTTATTGTTGGGGGCTTCGGGGAAATATTAGCGGTCTAATCAGACCCCTGATATTTCCCTTTTTAAAATAGAAAACGAGATTGAGAACACAGAGTCCCCAATCTCTTTTTCTGCAGCCCCTGTTATGAATGAACAGTAATCCTCTATACTGAGTGTTCCTGTTCATTCATAACTCGTGGAGATAGCATGTTCACCATGTCCTCAATCATGAATGAACAGGAAGTGGTGTAGATCACTTCCTATTCATTCACAATTGGGGACACAGTAACCATACTCAATCATTTGGAGGGCTGTACATATACTTTTGGCCATATAGTAGGTGTGATAGTCAGGTGTCCACTAAAGTTTAGACATATAATGCATCTCTTGAGGACTTCAGTGGGAAGAGCATTAGTTAATCACAAATCTGAGGTTTTCCTGTCTAGTGCACACTGCAATTTAGATGAACGCAGGAAATGCCAGCCTTTGTACTGCATCTTGCACTGTTCTTTAAATGTATTTGTTGCATGTGTGGAATGAGTTTTGTACTGGAAGAGACTATATACAAATATTTATTTTCTGTCACTTTTCACTGTCCTTTCATAGTGATAACAAGTATCTATGCGTAAGGCCATTTCTCCAGTATTAATACAAGTTTTACTAGGCTCAGGTCAATCGCTAATACTTTGCTGCCCTCTGCTGGGTGAACTGAGATGACACATGGTTTTATTTTTGGCTCAGTGCTGCCTTTTCTGATATGGTTCTACTTGAATGTCAATCCACAAGAAAAAAAAAGAGAGTTTACACATGGTGCTGCTCCTGTGCTGGTTTACTGAACAGGTCTCATGTCGGGCAGGGCTATTTATTCCCTTGTCCTGGGATATGACTCTGCCATGCTGGAGACTCTACATGCTACACCTACAGTATGTATCTACAAAGATTCTGTGTGTCCTTCTCCAGGGCAGAGATAACTTTGGACGATCAAAAGACCAGGCTCAAAAAACATACATAGAAGGTAGATCTAGAAGACTTTGGCTGAGAAGAGAAACATGCCAGGAGCCAAACTTTCTACACTCCCAACAGTGAAATAAAGTTTCACTCTCTTTTATAGCTCAATTGAACTTTCGGTTTAAATCCGCTAAATAAATTACAGGAGCATCAGAACAAAGTGTGCAAAGTCTTTAGAGAGCAGCCACAGCCTGAGTAGTAAATCCTGTCCCCTGCCAGCATGCTATAGACCCATGCTCTCTGTGTGGAAGCAGTTCTCTCTCTGCAGTAGTCCCCCTTCAGTCAGAAAAGCTCTTACTACCTGCTGATTGGAGAGCTCTAGCTCTGACTCAGCAGGGGGTGGGGAGTCGGACCTCTGCAGAGAGACCCCTGCTTCCACACAGAGAGCAAGAGATCTTCTCTGCAGCATACTGGCAGAGGACAGGCTTTTCTAAGCTGTGGCTGCTTTCTATAAAAGATAGACTCGGACTTTACACGCCTTTTTGTTTTGATGCTCCTATAATGTATGTAGCTGATTGTAGTGAACTTAAAGGGAAAGTTTAATTGGGCTTTAAAAAGGCATTTGTGTGTAAAGCCAAAAGTTTTTTGTTTTTTCCCCCCCCAAAACAAACTAAAGTCTGGCCATACACCTTACAACCATTGCAAGACGTTTGTCTTGCGATGGTTGTAAGGTAATTAAAAAAAAAAACGTACGATCTGCCCATCTTGGACAGGCAGATCGTTCTTGCGGGCTTCCGATGACCGCAATGCTGAACGGGCAGTGTGCGCTTGCGGCATTTATCTTACGAGCACGCCACGAACCCGCCGACAATCATACGATTCTTGGCGGGTTTTCGAACATGCTCATAAGATAAAAGACGTGCGACCGTACAGTAGAAACGGTCGCACGCCTTCCATACACCTTGCAATTATCGTACGATCATCGTAAGGTGTATGTAAGCTTTTTCACACCTTTTCCGTTTTGATGCACTTGTTAACAGCAGACAGACTTGACACCTGGGAATGATCCCATGGTTGTAGAATCACAAGGACCACTCATAATAGGTTTTATTTTATAGAAAGCCATTGTTTTCACTAGAGGGTGCTGCCATTGCTTAAACCTCCTTCCCCACGGACTTGTATTGTATGGCAATGCCAATCATTAAGAAATCAGTTGTGCCAATAAGGGACAGCGGCAATCTCAGGATAGGTCAGTGGAGAGGTTGTCTGTGTGACTGATCACTCCAGCCTAGGGCCAGACAGGAGAAATATATATATATATATTATACACACACGCCAGATTAGTATGACCACCCCATCAGTACTTAGTTGGGCCACCTTTTTCCTTCAATACTGCGGCGATTCTTCTTGGCATTGACTCCACGAGATGTTGAAAGGTGATGCGAGGAATCTGACACCATGCCTGATGAATAGCACTGTCCAGTTCTGTGAGATTTGATGGTTGTGGAACCAGCTGCCTGATGGCTCTTTCAACTTCGTCCCACAAATGCTCAATTGGATTGAGATCTGGTGATTGTGGGGGCCACCTAAGCAAGGTAAAGTCTACCTCATGTTCTTGAAACCACTCCTGCACAATATGAGCACCGTGGCATGGCACATCGTCTTGTTGGAAGAAGCCTTCTCCATTGGGATACGCCATCAACATGATAGGATGAACTTGCTATTCAGATGTTGTTCCACACGAATTAAAGGGCCCAAATCATGCCAGGAAAACATGCCCCAAACCATAACACTGCCCCCACCAGCTTGAAGGGTTGTACTCATGCATGTGGGGTGCATGCTTTCATGCTGTTCCCGCCAAATTCTCACTCTGCCATCTGCATGATGTAACTGGAAACGTGATTCATCGGACCACATGACTTTTTTCCAATGCTCGACTGTCCAATCCTTGTGTTCCTGTGCGAATTGGAGACGTTTTATCTTGTTAACTGCAGACAGCAAAGGTGTTCGAACAGGCCTTCGGCTTCCATATCCCATACGATGCAGTGTACGGCGAACAGTGCGTTCAGAGATCATTTGAGAGGATCCCTGATTAAGATCTGCAGTAATTTGATGCACTGTTGCCCTTCTGTTGTCTTGTACCAGTCTTGCCACTCTCCGTTCTGCCCTAACATTGACTAGTCGCTGACGGCCACAATTCGCACGTTCAGACCCAGATTTTCGGCTGACAGTCCAGTCTTTAAACACTTTAACAACAGCTGCTCTTGAACATTTAACGAATTCTGCTGTTTTGCTGATACTCGCTCCATGGCTCCGAGCGCCAACAATCATCCCACGATCAAAGGCTGTTAAATGGCGTTTACCCGTATCTTCATAAACAAATCACTTCTACTGTCGTGGTAAACAACCTGCTTCCCTATTTATAATGGTCTGGCCCTCTAGCAACTTCAGCGCGGAATTATAGCTAATTTGCCTACAAACGTCAGGTGGTCATAATAATATGGCCACTCAGTGTGTGTGTGTGTGTGTATATATATATATATATGTGTGTGTGTGTATATGTATATGTCTCGACTGTTAATCTGTTCTTCCATGGTGATCATATACCCCGTTATTCGCCTCTTCTCGGGGTGAATACATTCCGTTAATCTTTCCTCATACCTGAGCTCCTCCGTGCCCCTTACTCCTTTAGTTGCCCTTCTCTCTTTATTCCTCCAACATCTGTTTTTGTGAACTGGCACCCAGAACTGATCTGCATATTCCGGATCATCTTAATGCTTTGTACGCATTTTGCTTGTGTTCACACTAGTTGCAAAGCTGGACCTGAAATGTAGTCATTCCTCTAAAACCACACTGTGATTTCACTACTTTTCTTCTAATTGTTATGCAAACTCTTGGAATTGATGTTTGGAGGAACTTGTAGGCGAGATGATTGCAGGGATGAGATCAGCATAATGACTCTCTGCTATAGGCCAGGTTGAAAAATGAACGCCTGTTGAAATGTTCCTTTTTTCCCCTCCTATGCCTTAAAGTTTTTATATGTATAAACAAAACT